CTATAAAGTAACCGCTGTTTACCCTGCAAATAATCAGGATGCAAACATAGCAAATATATGTTTAAAAAGTCACACCAAAATATTTCAATGACCACAAATAGGATTACTTAATAGAGAGTAAGAGGTCGAAATAACTACACTTATAACCAATAATTTAAACTACAAACTTTCGAGAAACGTTCAAAGCGCAAAAAGCAAGAGAAAGCCTTACCTGAGCAAACAAGTCAAACTCTTCCAGAACAAATATCACTGTTTTATGTGCTAATCCACATTCCCTAGAAAACAAAGATAGTAAAAGCTCCAGAACTTTAAATTATTTTACTTTTTCAACAAATGAAACTTTCACTCACTTTAGAATGGCAACCATAAACTGGGAGTTGTCATCAAATGATGCCTGCAGAATGTTCATATCAAGATAAAAAAAAATATCAAAGTACGGTAATTGTAAATGAATAGTGGGGATTTTGTATAGGTAGGTTATGTTACCGCTTTTGAGAATAGCAATTGATGCTCCATGCACAACTGCCTAGCTATTTCCTGTTTCATCGTGGTTTGCAACAAGAAATAAGACACCAAACAAGAACAGATACAGTGCAACCTAAATCTACCTGTTCAAACAATCTTTACTTGTATTGATATTTTTGAAAGAGAAGAAAGAAATAAAAGGAATATGAAGTGGAAAAGGAAAGAAGAGAAACTTATGAGAAATAAAATAGAAATAGAGGTAGTCTCACTGAAAAAATAGAATGAAATTAATTTTTTGAGATTATTAAATTTAAAAAGGAAATAAAAACATTATTTTATTATTATTACTATTTTTGCTATAATCTATGAAAACATAAATGGGGATTATCCTATTTTATGTACACATTATATTTTTATTTTACCCTTATCTATAAGAATATAAAATACAGATTACTCTATTTGGTGCATGTAGTGATGTAAAAAAATTAGGTTTGACAAAGTGGGAGTGCAACTGTGGCGGATGAGACCAAATGCCATATTAATATGTAGTGTGTTCTTTTGATTTTTTAAATTTGATAGGCAAATCAATTAATTTAAAATATATATAAAATATATAAAATTAAAATTAATATAAATGTTAAATTTAACTCATTAAAATAATAGTGTAATAGAAATTACAGACATAGGCACAACAACTCTTGTGTTTCTGCTAGTAATTATAATAAAATATTGGGATTAACAAAAAGAAGCAAAACTTAAGAGACATCCTTCCATCTGGTCGTCCTTCCACCCATTTCTGTACTATCCTACACCTAAGATGAAATGAAAAGTGATTGAATTTTGCTCCATTTCTCCGCAGGTTTTCACAGCCAAATGATGCACAAATCCAATAATCAACTATCTCCCTCGCTATTCCACTATTTTCTCATTTACCTCTGTGCAATCGAACTGACCGTGTGACAATAATTGAAAATTCTATGACATGCCTACAGTTCCAGAATTAAAATCTACAAGCTTCCTAGCTAAATCAAAGTGGAAGATTATCTTCCAATTAGTTGTCCCCTTCTGCAGTAAGACTAACCAGTCAATCACCCAAATAGACTTCATACCAACCTATGCGCCTATATTATTAAGAGTAAGAAGCTGACTGGGGCGGCAAACTAGCCATGTAAGAAACCATTGACTATATAAACAAATCACAGCTAACAAACGTCACCAAAGTTGTGGTCAGTAGTAAGTCAACATAAACAATCAGGAAAAACAATTCAAGAAAATATTAACACAAACAGAAAAACAAAGGGCAGAAACAACGTCATAGCCATTTAAATTAGTAACATTATACGCGGGTCTTATGAATGCTAACCTTGAATGCAGAGATGTCGTCGCTATGTAAAAGGCCATTCAACCGTATCTGCAACGAAAAATTTAAACTAAGATGACAGACATACTTCCATTCCCATAAATTATTAATAACATTATGTTTAATCGCTCATTCAGTAATATTTGAACATTTCTTTTTGAATTTTAGTCTGTCCACATACACGTTTTAATCACTCTGCCATGGACTAAAATGGATTAAAAATGTATTTTAGTGGCTAAAACGGATTTAAAAGCTAATGCGTAAGCCTGAAGAAAGTAATTTCTAAATGTAGGAATGAAGCAGTAATGATCGTGCAGACAAGACTAATTAAACCATATCATTATTTGGAGACAATGATTAATTACCACAGAAATCGAGTCTGGATACTCTTGCAGCAAATCTTGAATGACAACTTCCAAAACCTAACAAGAGAAAACATGTTGAAAAGACAATGGAAGAAACCCTTAAACCGATGTTGAGGTTGAGGAGAGAGATGAACACACCGCGTTCTTTCCGGAGCCGCGCGGACCGAGTAGCAGAATAGAATTGTTGCACGCTTCCGTCACCGAACTCGATATCATGAATTTCAGTTTGCTGGTATGATAAATCGGTAAAGTGAGGCAACCACCGATTCGGATTTGATTAAATAACAAGGAGAAAAGTTAACTGCAGGATAATTTCAGACCTGTAGTTGCTGTCTGGATAATCGTTGTTGAATATGAATTTGGGGTCGCAGATTCTGCTTCGAAGCACGTTCACTGCCTTCGTTTTGTGATTCTCTGGCTCCATTGCGCCGAAGATACAACACAGTTGGCGGGAACAACAAACGCGCCTGTTTGTTTATAAATAGTGAAGATCTTGTGTTTTCTATTAAATGCGGCCCAAATTCTATGATGGGCTTCGTTCTTCCGTTATGGGCTTTATGTCTTTCATGATTACACATAATAAAGACCTGCTCTGTAAATAGTAGTAAAAATTACTTTTTTGCTATTAATGTTACCATAATGAATTCCTCGCACGTGATTTGTGATTTAATAGTAATTTCAAACGGAATTACATTGTCATTATGTATTTCTTAAATAAAAATTTTATGTTGTCACTCTATTGTATGAGATCAACCTTACTCACAAATCGTGTATCTCGTAATTTATATCAACTTTGCATTTAAAAACCAAATCAACAAACAAAAACCATAACAGGTCTTCGAGGTATAATATAATTTTAAGTTAATTAGGTAGATTAATTGTATTATTTTGGTTTTTACTTAAACAAATTTAAGACTTTTATAATTTTGAAGTATTTTTAATAGAATTTTTATTAAACTTTTTTTTTATCTATTTGGTATTCAAAGTTGATATATTTTTTAATTGATCGTTTAATTTTTTTTCATTAAATAGTATGATTATAATTTTTTTTTTCTTTGTTTTCTTATTTGTCTTTAAATATATTGAAAATGTCGGATTTATGGTTAATATAGAAAATACATATTGTTTCGTATTAACAGTAATAATATCCTTTAAATAAATTAAAAAAATATTGTATTTCTTGATTTGTTAAGACATACAGGTAAGTTTAAGTTTGTATAATGATAATATTTATAGAGATATTAATACTGATAAATATTAATGTAAACAAATTCTAACATATGTAATCATTTATACTAAACTTAACCATCTAAATACATGTATTGACATGAAACGACGCCTCTACTACTCTCTAGAGTAATTTTAATGGATTTCACTTTATCACATACAGAGTTCGTATGTTAATGCCTTTGACTAAAGTAAATCCCTTACACTATGATTTCTTACTCCTTTCACTACATGCCTCACATTTATTTACTTAAGATTAAATGATTATTAGAGCGTCAGAATGACTCGTAATATGTAATTCATACATCAATACATACACTATTGAAACCACAACAAGAAACTTTTTCTTGAAATTTCTTTCACAATATTCACCATACATTTTCACAACCATGTTCTTATCCCACAATACATATTAAAAATACATCATATCCATAGTAATTAATTTTGCACAAATCAAAGCATAAGAAAATCACAACATACACACTAACGCTCATGAGTGGAGTTCAACGTAAGACCTCTCGCAAAAGAGAGCGTTTAACAATAGTTTTGGTGTTTAACGCCAAACCTTTCGCAAAAGGTGGCCTTTACCAGCAGTCTTAACAATTAGTGTTATTCTTATTACAAAACGCCTCACTCTGTGATTATAAAAACCAATAAGGTAAATATGGAGAACTTGCCTTACTGCTTATTTTGACAGCTTCGATCTTTAAATAAATAAAAAAAATGGTTACAAAGTTTATAAAAATATGTAAAAAAAAAATCAAAGTTTAGTGAGATGAAGCTCTTTATAAAAACTCTATTTATATTATAAATTTTGATTGTTAAAATAATAAAATTTTATTATTCTATACATACTACATTCGTTATTATTCCTACTAAAGTAATGCATTTTTTTATCAAAACTTTTAATTATTTTAATATTATAATTGTAGAGAGGTTCCACACACACATAAATCTCTACACTTGTAAAATATTGTCTACTTTAGATAAGCTCTCAAAAATTTGCTTTTGGTATTACTTCAAAAAACCTCTTACGAATGAATGTATCTTATCTATATATAAACTCATGTCCATTTATTCTTTTATATGATGTGAGACTTTATTTGTACCTAACAATAATTTTGTAATTAAATTACATCAATATATATATATATATATACATATTCATATCTTTAAATTAAATTTTAAAACAATACAACATTATCAAGAACTCATTTATTTATTCAAGAATAATTACAAAAAATAAATTAATATTTACATTTGTATTGATTATACTAAAGTTATTTGTATTCTATTATAATTTTAAAATTTTATATTTTCCATTCATTAAAGATGTCTATCACGAAACAGTTGTGTTAAAGTTTTATTTTCTTGCATAATATCTTTAGGAGCAAGCAAAAATCCACGAAAAATTACAAGGTATTAAAATAGAAATTCCTGTTACCAATATTTTCCGACCGACATGAATCCAGAAATTGTGTTCTGCAAATTTATTTCATCAATTAATCTGTGTTTATAAAAAACTGAAACAGTAATTTAAAGAAAATATCTAACGATAATTTAATTTTCGAAAATTAATTTTAGCAGTTTTTCTTTTGTGTGCAGAAACATGCGAGTTAAAATATCAGGCGGCGAGGCCACACAACGTTAGCGAGCAAGCCAGAATCAAAGCAAATCGTATCCAACAAAATCAAAAGATGTTACGTCTCACCATGGGATTGGTAACCACCACTGTTCCCGCGAACGTCGTTCCTCAATTCGGGTCAGTCCGAACATCTATTCGGGTCGGAAACCCATCCGGGTTGAACTTCCCTCTCTCGCTGTCACAGAAGAGGAATCGAAGCTATGTTTGCTTGGCTGTGGATGACGACCTCAGACAGGAGCAGCAGGACTCGAGTACAACCGGTATTGGGTTGGGCTCCGCCCTTGAAGAAAGGCCCGGTAAGTATCACTGATACCCCATCGAATTCAGTTATTTCAATTTAATGTTATGGTTTATTCCTTAAAAGTTTTTATAAACATTTAAGTCTCCTGACTTCAATTCGTACTGTTATTTTCCTTCTTATTTGTGGCATATATTAACCTTGTTCATCAACCTGCGTATTGTTATATAAGTTCATGGTGATTGATCTGGACGACATACAAAAATGTGGGATGCCTTAGTTGTATTAAGGTCGTTTTGAATAAACTTATCCACAAACTTATATTAGAAGAATGTGAGAAAAAAAATCAATCTTATAAGAAATAAAGTTAATTTGGACAAATACAGAGTTACAGATTTAATTTTCTCTTCTGAAAGAAACTTATTTCATTTATCCTAGTTATGGAGAATTTTATACAAACATGACCTATGTCTAATATCGTGTAAGGATGCTACGAGGATAATTTCCAACAAAGATTAGTGTATATCGTTTTTTGTTCATATTATACTATTTAGCTGAACTTATCCTAGAGTGGTTTCTTGAGAACAATGTTAATACCGGTATATTTGAACTTGTGCTAATTTTTTCCCAAGTTAATTAATGATTATGGTGATATGATTTCTCAAGTGTAGTAGATATGGTCAAGATTCTAAGATCATTCTTATGTCAGAAAACACAGATCTTTTTGAGAGTACATCAGAAGAAATGCAGGGAAATTTTGAACAAGATGGTGAACGAAGTGCTATCTATGATTTTCTTTATCCTAATAAAGATCTTCTTCCTGATGATAAAGAAATGAGTGTATTTGATCATCTTGAAGAGCTGCGGCAGAGAATCTTTGTATCAGTTTTAGCTGTTGGAGCTAGCATTTTGGGATGCTTTAAATTTTCAAAAGAATTGATAATGATTCTTGAAGCTCCTGTTAAATCACAGGGTGTAAGATTTCTTCAGCTGGCTCCTGGTGAATTTTTCTTTACAACTTTAAAGGTAAGATATCTTACGTTACATAAATCTCCGAGATGGTTGTTGCTTTCTTCCATATCAAATGAGCTCCGATATTTTATTTCCTGGTAGACATTTCATTAAATTAAACAAGTGTTTTATGTTGTTGATCTTGCTTTATCAGGAATGTACAAAGCAGCCTTAGTTCTTATGTCTGCCTCATAACTAGTTGCCAAATAAGATTAATGGGCATACTATATTTGAAATATCTATATTCTCGTGCTAATTGTTTTAACTAAAATCTTAAACTAAATTCAATCCAAATAAACTGTGATTTAGAAGATCGAGAAGAATGGAAACAGTGTGTTCATTTATACTTCGTCACATCATTTGGTAAGATCTCATAGCCACATGGTGCATAGTATTCATGAATGAGTGTGATGAGCCGATAGCTCAACCCCTCAAGAAGCCCAAGCAGGTGATAATTAAACCGTACTGGGCTAAGGATTACTATGCCCTTTTTATGATGCAGTCCCTCTAAGAGATGACATGAAATGAAATATCCATTCTCTTTTATATTTCCTTTATCTTTTGTCTTGTAGGGTAACCCCTTTTCCATCTCCCGTGTTACTGGTAGTGGAAGAGTAACTTAAGGATGTCAAACCTAAACCCTTTAAATCCCAATACTCTACCTCACAACCACCTTACACCCAAAACTATCTCCTCAACTTCACAAAACTCTCTTCCTATCAAAAAGTTAAACACTGCTCCGATGCAAGAAAGAAGGGCCCAAGGCCTCTGCTACTATTGTAGTGAAAACTTTTACTAGATGACAAACGTGCTTCAAAAAATTTCCATCTCCTCACGAAGAGGGTCACATTACCTCATACATATTTAAAAAAAAAAGAAAAATCCAACCTAACCATGCTCAAACCCAAGGTGAGTTGGATTGGCTCATGAGTTTAAACCCATTTTGACACCTCAACCAACTTTTCCACCCCAAGCATCACTTTTACCCATAATCACACACTCATCACTTTGTTGGGCCAACCACCATCTCCACCTTCCGCCACCATCTTCCACCAACTATCCTACCTTCTTTATTCTGGCTCCATTTCATCACTTCATTTCCTTATGTTTTCTATCGTTGTTGTCAAGCTCCGAAATTGTAAAAGAATAAAAAAGGAGATAAAAGATTATAACTCAACTTGTACGAGTTATGCATATATGAAAAACTATATTAATAGATAATATGGACAAGAAAAACAACTCATAATACCTTGGTAGAAACTAGTTTGCCCAACAATTTGTTCATTGCAGGGATGGGCATCTCTTTAACGTGACTACGTTCAAAGTGCTATAGTCTGCATGAAAACACTGTGAACCATCTTTCTTTATCACAAGAAGGTTGCACCTTAAGATCAGGGTAATGATGGGTTGATAGTCCGACCCCTGGAGAAGCCGAGTGAGTGATAATTAAACCCTATTGGACCAAGGATTACAATGGGCTGAAGTAAGTGTTGAAGCAAATTCAATAGTTGGTATAGAATCTTCGAATTTGCTTGTAAGATCTCATAGGCACGTCATATTCGTGACTGAATGGACAAAACTACTTTGTGTATTACCACTTAGAATTTGAATTAGGATCTACTTCAACTCCTCAACACTTATAATGTGAAGACTGTCGAAACTTATTAGAACTAGTCTATTATCTGTACTAGGTTTAGTAGTCTATTATCTCATTAGAACCAGTCAAAATCTTATTATCTTTATGCAGTGTTGTGTTATGTTGTGCATTTAACCTGTTTTTTCATACCCATATAAGTTGGGATCAAACCCTGAATAAAGATATAAAATAAAAGAAGGCAGGAGCTACCTTGATAGTATTAATTTTTTGTCACTCTGAACTGCAGGTGTCTGGGTACTGTGGCCTTCTTTTGGGAAGCCCCGTCATCCTCTATGAAATCATAGCCTTTATACTTCCAGGACTTACAAAAGCCGAAAGAAGATTTTTAGGGCCAATTGTTTTAGGCTCATCAGTTCTTTTCTATGCCGGAATAACTTTCTCCTACTTAGTTCTGACACCTGCCGCTTTAAATTTCTTTGTTAACTACGCTGAAGGCGCTGTTGAATCAATTTGGTCCATTGATCAGTACTTTGAATTTGTTCTTGTGCTTATGTTCAGTACAGGCTTATCTTTCCAGGTAATTTTTTTCTTCCTGGTTTCTCTTTCTTTTTTGATACACTAGCTATAACACCAACTCTTGACAGTGGTTATTGTTATGATTACATTTTTAAAATTGTCATGCATGGGTCTATTTGGAATTATGAACAATGTGGACATTCCAACAACATGATTCTGTTATGTATTCGAAAGAAAGGCATGCTATGGTTACTAAAATGAAAAATGCTCATAAGATAGTTTTTGCTTGGACTCCATTTGTAATCAATCACTCCTTTGGATTTTAGTTTTGCATAAAATAGTTGTGCCTTTAACCAATGCTTAATGAAGCAAGAACTTTTGAAGACACATGTACCTCCAAACTTTATTAGTTATGGAATCTAAAGGAATTCATATTGCAGGTACCTGTCATACAATTTCTACTGGGACAACTTGGACTGGTATCCGGAGACCAGATGCTATCAATTTGGAGGTATGTTGTGGTTGGTGCAGTAGTGGCAGCCGCTATAGTTACGCCATCTACCGATCCTCTCACTCAAGTTCTTCTAGCAGCACCTTTATTGGGTCTTTACCTTGGTGGGGCATGGATGGTCAAGCTGACTGGACGATGACCTTAGTCCCTTCTTAATTACGTGCCAGAATTTTCAGTCTGAGTAGATGTTAATGTACATTCACACAGCAATGTAGAGTATATTTTTATTCGTACCAGAGCATTACTTTTCCTGTATTCCAATTGATTTAAACGTATAAGTCTGTCGGGACATTTTTAAATGAAAAAATTGTTTTTTATTTTCAAATTACAAACAAAAGAAAAAAGTATAATACAAACTAAATATAGCTTTTCAAGTTGAATCTCCTCGCCCGTATGTTTAGAGCAATAAAGCTTAATTGTCCAAAGAACGTGCCTTTAAGAAGTAAAAGTTAGAAGCTATCCGTACATGATTTTTAGGTTAAACATGAAAAAATGTGATTTTGAAACGAATATGACGTAAATCCATATACCAGATACCATGAATTCCAGTTATTGAAATTATAACAGAATTGGAACTGAACCAGTTAGATTTCGATTAATACCGAAATTATAATTATTTTCAAATGCAGGAGATGGAGATAGTATTCAGCAATCTTATTGATATCTGAGGTCGACCAGTGGCTTAAGCACACTGATATATATATATAATTGTCAATCCAAATGATCATTTTCAGAACTTCAAGAACGTCATATTCATTGAACACATTCCCAACACCCAAATAATAACTAATTTAGTGCACCCTGGCTAATGTCAGAGCTACTTATCGGTTAATGTTATATTTTCCAGTCTGGCTGCTTCATCAGCAATACTAGAATTACTTAGTTCAGATGCAAGCTGTCTCAGTGAACTCCTCAAGCCATTGCATGGCTCCATAAACACATCTGAGGAGCCTAAAAGTTCTTCTACCTCCACTTGCACAGTATCAATAATGCTGAGGATTTTCTCCGAACCTGCCTTTATGGCAGGAATCTCTTGCGGGGGATAAAGGCATGCCCCAATCTCATCAATCTGTCGACCAAGTTCCTGACACAATTGCAACAATTTCTCCAACGAATTTACAAAACTGCTGTTGTCACTTGGTTTTTCCACCTTAAGCAAGCCAATGATGGAGTGAATGAGTACTTTTACAAATGAAAGTGTATCAGAGACCACCTCAATTGCTCTTTCAGCCACTTTCATCTCTTCAGGCGACAAGTCGTTCCCTATATCATCTTCACTTGAATTACCATCATGGGGCTCTGACGCTGCTTCTAGACAACTCTCACCGGAAGTTTTGTCAACTTGATCATTGGATGAAGCAGGCTTCAATTCTTTCATCTCACGAAGAACATCCTTCACTGAAACAGCAACCTGCGTCATTCCTCGCCCAATTGCTGTAACATTTGTCGAAGGAGTCTTTTTAAGGGCAGAACATGCTTCCCATACAGGACCAACCAATTGTGGTACTGCTAGTTTCTGGTCTTTAGAATGGGTCCCTGTTGGTGTCCATTAAAAGAGAAAAGTTGTCAACAATCAAAAGAGATTACAAAAGAACATGATAATTAGAGACTATTCATTAGAGCATGCTGCGTGCATTCTAAAACTAAAAGGATCCTTAACCAATGCGTATTAAACCAGAAGTATCCTGGGATTTTATTAAATCAAATTTTAATTTTAAACTAGATTGATTAGATAATAAATTAAGTAACTGAAATGCATTCTCTAACACCATACTTGCGAAGGGAGAAAACTCCAAATCACAACAGAAAACCATACCTCATATATGGTTGGTCCCATACCTTATTTAATGAATCTCTCCCCCGACTTTTGTTGTATAGTATCGAATAAATTTTAATCAATAAAAGAGAGTACTAGGGAGATTGTGTTTCTTGCACAATTCATATATCAACTCCATGGCTACCAATCAACTAATGACAGGACTCAACATCACAAAAAGAAAAAACGGCATAAAAACCTTCTGTGAGGAAAACATAGCGTGATAGGACGAACTTAAAAAACATCTCTACCACCAACTAAGTATCTTAGCTAGGGTCCATCTCTTTCACTATCACCTAAATCATGAAATGGAATCATCATCAGGTTGCGTGTTTTCTCCAGAACTCAAGCACAGTATCCCATTCTACATGTCTGGCAGAGTGTATAAAAGGCATGGTTTAGGAGAAGCATGTTCTCATTTATATTGTTCACATCTAGCTTTTAGATTCATTCGACAGTCCAGAATCACAGAGAAAAAAGTGTTATTATTACTGACCAGCACGTCACTAATCATCATAGAATAGCATAAATTAATAATCATCATACCATATAAAGAGATTGTTTCCTTCATCAACCTGAAGCTGGAATCAACAACTTGCTTCACGGATGCATGAACAGCAGAAGACAGAGTAGGCCCTGCACCAACTGTACTACCATGGGAAAGCAAAAGGAAACCTTGCAGAGTGTTGAAGTATGATGCCATATTTTCCTCAATTGCTTTGAATTCTGGCTGCTCCCCGGTCCAAAGCATTCCCACTGCAGAAAAGCAAGACATAATTAATAAGACAATTGAAAAACTAAAAAGAAAATTTATGATATCCGAATAGTGCAATTCTTAATAAACAGAAGGCAAAAAAAAAACATTGAAAATCTTTCCCCTTTCATTAATTTAAGAATAGCAACAATGTTCAACACAAATCAATTCATGCAATCCCTTTTACCCTGTTTAGAAAACCCTCGTGAATGATCACAACACTGAAAACTAAATAATGACGGGGAAAGATCTAATTTTGGGAGTGCTAGAGAGCAAGATTGAAAAAAGGCATTAGAAAGAAACAAAATTTAGTGAGTGAAACTAAGAATGGCTGACCTGTGGTTGCTTGTTTAGAAACTTGATCACCCATCTTCATGACATCGTCCCAGGTAACTTTGGTCGCAAAAGACGGCGGTGTTTTATCCAAAACCTAGAAAGGGTGTGAAGAAAAATATGTTGACGGATGGTGATAGATAGCAGAGTAGACAGAAACAGAGAAAGGAACGGTGTCTTACCTGGAGGGTTTCGTGGATAGTGGCGAGGTGGGAACCAAGTACTAGATTGAGATGTTCTTTCTCTTTCTTGGATCTTGCAGCCATCTTCTACCCTTGTACTCTCCACAACTGCGCGCAGCGTTTCAATCTCCAACCAAAGCTTTCTGACAAGTGACAATGGCGGTGACGGCGTCGGGAAACAGTGCACTCGCAATTGAAGCTCGGGATTATAGGGGTTTATGCCTGCGTGGCACTTCTTTATCAACAATAAAATTGAAACAAAAATGCATATATATTAAAATAGTATTGTCATATAGATTATATTTATTTATAAGAACGAGTGTTTGTCTTTATATAACTAAAATTTAATATATTAAAATAGTATTGTAAACCGATTTGATTCATGGTTTAAAAATATTGAAATACAATTTAGATATATAAATTAAAATGGGTAAAATTGAAAAGAAAAAGTGACGAAATTAAATATATAGATAAAGAAAACTTTAAGATTGTTGAAATTAAATTTTTATTTTTTGATAAAAATAATTTCTGAAATATTTTCTTTTAAGAACAAAGGAGAAAAATATATTTAAAATATTCAATTAAGAAAGTGCTAAATTACATCTTGGTTTTATTTGTTTAGAACTTTGTGTGAATAAACACTTCGAATTTTATTGTACTTTATTTTATGAGAAAAGTTAATAATATGCCTTATTACTGAATGAAAATTATAAAATTAAGAAAAATATTTAATAAGTGTAAAAGGGATATGCTTTCCGAATGTAAGAGGTGTATTTAGCAATAGGCCGAATCAAAATAGAAGTCTAATAGGCTATTACTTCTTTAGTATATTCCTAGAGACAGTTGTTTCTTTCACCACTATCATCGAATACTCTCTACACCACTTTATACCTATTTTGTTCTTGTTCTAAAATGGATGTCAACATTCATTTCACCTTCAACGGATGTTGACATACGTGAACAGATTTGATATATGTAAACGAATGTTGACATACATGAACGGATGTTGACATTCATTTACATATTTTATATTTTAGTTTATTACTTTTATTTAAAAAAAAATCTTCAACAGATGTGGTCACATTCGTTAACGGATGTGGCACATCCGTTTTAATAAATTTTTTAAAAATATTTTGATTATTATTTAAATAATAATACATAAATTAAATTAATAATAATTATTTTATTAAATAAAATAAAATTAATTTATAAATAATTAAGTAATAGTTTTAAAAAAAATAAATAATATTTATATATTAATTTAAAACATAATAAATTAAAAAACAAAAAACTTAAAAAGAAAACTATAATGGATGTCGCGATATCCATTAATGGATAACGGATTTGGCACATCTGTTTTAATAAATGTTTTAAAAATATTTTGATTATTATTTAAATAATAATATATAAATTAAATTAATAATAATTATTTTATTAAATAAAATAAAATTAATTTATAAATAATTAAGTAATAATTTAAAAAAAATAAATAATATTTATATATTAATTTAAAATATAATAAATTAGAAAACAAAAAACTAAAAAAAAAACTGCAACAGATGCCACATCCGTTACGGATGTGACACATCCGTTTTAATAAAAAAATTAAAAATATTTTAATTATTATTTAAATAAAAATACATAAATTAAATTAATTATTATTATTTTATTAAATTAAATTAATTTATAAATAATTATTTAATAATTT